GCTCTAGGAAGACCAGCAGAGTGTAACAAATTCGACGATCTCGTAGATAGATTTTTGAAAGCTGCCCTTGTCTGTGGAAAGGACTATGACCGGATAGATGTTGCATTTGATGGGTACAGGGAAGCCATCTTTCCTTTTCATGCGCTAACAGGCTGTGATACGGTCTCTTTCTTTGCTAAGCATAGCAAGAAAACTGCCTGGAAGGCATTTGCTCATCACCTCATCACCAAACGCTATTGGAAAGTTTTGCAGATGGAGACCTGGATGACACGACTGTGAAGTCCGTAGAAAAATTCATTTGCAGTGTACAATACTGCTAATGCAGAGGGATGTGATAAAGCACGTGCGACGTTGTTTGGTTGGTGCAGATTCCCAGAGGCATTTCCCCACACAAGTGATGCAGCATGATGGCATATTACTAGCGCACGCTTTCAAGCAATGTTATGGAGACAAGCCCACAAAACGAACCCCACCCTCCCACTTCCAGAAACCATGGGATGGACTAATTCTGATGACGGAAAGCTCGTGCCTAAGTTAATGACTCTTGCCCCTAGCCTGTACCCGAAAGCTGTACCGAGATGATTACCTGTAGCTGCAAATCAGGATGTTCAACAAATAGGTTCAGCTGCCGGAATGTTAGACTGCCGTGTACAGGAGCATGAAAATGCAGAAGCACTGAAGATCTCAATTGCAGAAATGAAGTTGATGGTAATGTCATTGCAAGCCAAGGACAGTAAATGGTACAGTTCAGCAGAACAAAGCGTTTAGCTTCTCTAACAAATTTTTATTCTTGTTTTATAATATATTGTCTATGGACTAATGACGGGTTTTTTTTAATTTTCGTCCTGTAGGATGTCTGATGTTTACAATATCAATTTAGGTCTTAAATATGTTTCAGAAGCTGACATCAGACGCATCTAAAATGGCTGCAATCAATCGAATGTTAGGACCTTCCTTCTTAGTTATAAGTAGAGCATGTATCCAGAATGGTTAGGGCGTGAAAGTTAAAAGTAGTTTTAAGAAAATGCAGTTTTTGTTAATTATTTCAAGGATTTTGCAAACATGTAGGATGAATTCAATACTTGAAAATGGAAGTAAGATGTCTGCAATATATAGATCGCAAACTTACTGTAAATATCTTAGGAAATTGCTGAAAAATTAAATTTCTATAGCTGCTGTAACTATTGGAGCGAATTGCTGGATTGGTAATTTTGTTTCTTTTTTGACTGTGCCGTCAAATTTGTCAAAATTCTGAATAGCCTATAACCCCGTTTCCAATAGTCACGTGACTAGAAAAATCACGTGATTTTCAGACGGTTTCTGCGAGGTACTGTAAGTGATAAGTTGTATCAGTCACCTGTTGATCTGAACGAATTTTAACCGTTAGAGAGTACTCTGCATCCTCATACAACATGCAGCCTCGTTTTCATGTCACAATTTATTAATACTAACCTTAACGGCTGATTTCAAGGTCTAAATGGTGGAACCAACCTTGGTAAACAAAATTTTCGTGTTCAGCACATAATTCTCATCTAGAAAAGTGTGTTTACCAACTTTTCCTCAAATTTGCCGACAGAAGTTCTCTTTTGCGAAAGTTACCCCAGTCTAATAATGAAAAAAATTCATGACGATATCGATAAATTACACGTGCATTTTTGACAACTTTTATCTGCTACATTTAGGACACAAAACTTTTAAACTTTTTCCAGCAAGATAAAGACCTCATACTTAAGCAAATAATCTTACCCCGGTTCCAATGGAGCTCATGACGGAAGATTTAGCTGTAAACTGCTTCAAAATAGTATAAAAACTTCCAGAAAGATTGCATTTAACAAAATGGCGTGCGAACACGCATGCGTAGTAATATGCAAAGTCATTTTCGTTCCCAGTACTTTGCATTCTCGTCCCCAGAGCCACTCGGCTTAATTTGTAACCGACCACGTGACCAAGAAACGACGGGCTCTGGGGACGAGAATGGGTACTTTGCAGCAAAGAAATCAGTGACTATCCCCTCCCCGGATAAAAATCCCAAGTCCCCACCGGTCCCCGCCTCGTCCCCGCCTTAGTCTCCTAGCGGTCTTCTACGTTCTTTTTCTCCTCACGCAGTCACGCAATGTTGCATGATTAGTCAATATGGCACGTGCTTCTCCTTTTGTTTTTGTCCATATTTGGGTTAAGTAAACGACTCCTGCACGTGTTATATAGTTGATGCTCTCAAACTGGAAAACTACTGATTCTAAATACAAGATGTGGCAGCGAAACAGGTTTGTCCGTTTTGTTTCCTATTTATATTTTCGTCAACAGTCTCGTGTAACATCACTTTTGAGTTTATTACGTTAGAGCTCAAATCGAACCTCTTTTGACTCGAAACATTTACGAATTTGCTGTTTTAGAACTGTTATTCTAAACCGACAGCGAACCGGAAATGACATTTTGAAACTTTGTGTGGTGTGTTTTAAATATTTTCTTTGGAGAGCTCAATCCTCTTCTCGACGTTACTCTTGCAATTTCTACCATTTACAATCCCAGTTGCAGAATTGTTTGCCAGAAATTTCGATTTTTGTCGTGCCTTGCCTATAAATGATTTTGTCCGGAGACCTGAAAGTCACGAAAACCCATCACTACACGCACCGCCGGGACTTCTTTTTTCTCTTCCGTCGAAATGTTCGACGAGAGAAACTTGTAGTCCTCAGTGCAGAAAATATTTCTTGGCCCTTCTTGGCTTTATATATAGCCAGAATCTTCAAACAGAAGTTAATTCATAATGTGGCGGGGTAGTTGCACACTGACATACGTTTTCCTTAGAATAATTTGCTGGGCTAAAATAATCGCTGAAATCCCCTGTTTGTTTTCACTCCGCGAAATAGAGGATCCTACAGCTCAGGATTTCAAAACAAGTAGAGGATGCAATCCAAGAATTTAAAAAGTTGAATCTTTAGAGCTTCCGAAAATGTGAGATGCCTGGTAGACAACTAGTCTCACTAGCAGACAACCGGCCATTCAAAGTTTGAAGTGTATTTGCCAGTCTGCCCTTTGCCCTCCGTAAATCTCGCACGCAAACATTTTGACATGTTATTTAAAATTTATTTCCGTCTTATACTACCATTAACTTTCATTTCTATGACCAGTGGTGTAACTAAAAAGGTATTTCAAAGTGAGTTCCATGCCACCCTGTGCTTCGGGAGCGTGTTGTTTTCGTGACTTGATTTACTTGATATTTTGTCATTTGTTTATTGTATCGCGCAAGGTTTTATGACTGTGGCTCGTTTTAGGAAGAGCTGTTAAAGTGTTTTAGGAGTTTGTGGCCATCGGCCATTCTGTATGTTTAAAGAATCTAGAGCCAAGTGAAAGAACCTTTGGTGCAGTTCACTAAATAACGAACAAAGTTGGGTTGGTATTAAGCCTGCTAAATAATTTCTATAAAAAGGAAAATATTTAGCCGTTAATTAATGGCTAAATTCTCGATTTGTAGAATATACAAAGTGACTTTATGGCTAAATTTTTCTTATAACTACAGTGTGAATTTATTGCAAATTTCGCATTTATATATACACCCCTGGTTTCCATATGATCACTACGATCGCTCCGATCGCTGAGAAAAACAAGTTCAGCGATCATAGCGATCATAAAGCAACATATGGAAACCACTTTCCAGAGATCGTAGCGATCGCAGCGACAACGATCGCTGAGATAGAAAAAGTTCTATCTCAGCGATTGTTGTCGCTGCGATCGCTGGAGAGTGGTTTCCATATGATCGCTGCGATCGCTGAACTTTTTTTCAGTGATCGCAGCGATCATATGGAAACCGGACTTTAACGTGACCCTTTTCGTTTAGAGGTGGGGAATCTGTAACCCGGCTTAGGAGGGCAACCGCTTTCCCGGGGTTCTCTCCTACCTCTCCCTACGGAGCGAGAGAGAACTCCTGGAATGAGGAGTTAGGTGGGGTTACCCTGGGTACCAGAGGTTTTTCTCGCATGCGGCGGGAATTTTCGGTGTTGGCCGAAGGCCGACACATCTTCGGCCGTAGGCCGAAGCCGCGAGAAAAGCTTTTCGCGCGGGTCACTATAAAGACTTGACAGAAACCGGAAACCGCGCTAGAATAGTCTCTGGCACCCAGGGTAAGGTGGGGTAACCCGCCTCTTCTAATTTGATCATGTTTACACGATAGGTCAGTGGGGTGACCACATGGTAGATTAAATATGGACAGGCAGGTTACCCTACCTAAGCGAGTTACTTACTTAGCAGGGGTCCCCCACCTCCATGTAAAGAGGTCCTCCCCTGATGCATTCATACGCAGACGTTCCTAGGAGGCTTGAATTTTCTCCCGGTAATGATATTTGCAGCGAAAAAACAAAACAGCTTGAAACAGTTGAAAACAACTTGATGAAAGATTGTGAAATCATGTTTTTGTTATGTGCTGGAAAATGTATCCTGGTCTTGGTTAGCGTCGGTCTGGGGAGCAGAAGGTCACGAGTTCAAACCCCCGCAGGACCAACACTTAGGATCTTAAAAAAACTGAGAGGAAAGTGTTGCCTTTGTAATGACATCTGCAAACGTTAGAATTTCTAGGACGAAAAATCGTAGGTCCCGTCTCACAGCGCTTTCACTTATCTAGTTCTCGTGGGACGTCGAAGAACCCACACCACTGTTCGAAAAGAGTAGGGGACGTAGACCCCGGTGGTGTGGCCAACCTTTCCTGGGCTGGGTGGGTTATCTATTTGGAGAGACCTTAATATTGGGGAAACCTCATGATCCTCCCTCGGGTGTCGTAATGGCTACCTGTAAACAGTGTTTGTATGTAATTAAAGTTCTAACATCCTTCCTGATCGAAATGCTACTCTAAAAATTGCAAATAGATTACGGGTTTCGTCGTGAGCCAGGAGCTTTTGTTCCGTGTGGTAGATTGTGTAGCGTTGTACTGTATCAAGTAAACGATGACACAATGAGGAAATGTTACTCACTGAATTTTTTGCAAAATGCTCTTCTTTCAGAATTTCACAATGAAGATCGCGATGACACCAAGGACCCTTGAGTTCCTTATAAAGCAAGGAAATGGTGTTCTGGATATAGTGGCACCTGAAGTGTTTTATCAAATTATGATGTTTCTGCAGCCTAAAGACCTCAGAGTGTGCATGTGTGTTTCTAAAAAGTGGAAGGTAAGGCGTAAATGGGTCTGTACTTGTCCATCACGCGCACTTTGGTGATAATAAGGAGCTTATAATAAGCAAAAAAGACAATGGGGACCTTAAGCGACGACGACGGCGACGTCAAGAAAACGGCAAAAAAAGGCAGTAGGTTTAGGCCCCGTCCACAGGTATCCGATACTTTTGAAAACGGAGAATTTTTGTCCTCCGTTTTTTAAAAAAAATAATACGCGTTCTCACGTAGCGTATTCGAATCGTTTTCGCCCATCCACGCGAAAACGCAATACAATGTAAAAACGATAGCAGCCCTCACGGAGCATGCGTAATGTTAGTAGTATATAATTTATGACATCACCGTATTCGAAAACCTTCGTTTTCATCACTCCACATGTAGACAAGAAGCCTCTCCACTCTGGATAGCGTTTTTGAAAAGATGCGTTTTCGGTGACCGTTTTTACCGCATAAGTGTGAGAGGTAGGCCAAACCAATCAATCAATCAACAACTTTATTTAAGTGTCTAGTCTTCTAGCTTGCCGTGAGGCCTACTAATCGGGGACACTACTTAAATAACTTATTAATAAGAAAGATAATACTATAAGCCAATAAGATTTAACTATTCTAAAACTACTTAAAAGATACACGATATTCAATATGCTTCGAAAAATACACGTATGTAATAAATAAGAAAAAACTATATATACAATTTCGTAATATATCCACTCTACGAGTTATGATATTTCCTGTTTATGAGTCACACAGGTGGCACCCTTTGCATGCGTTATCACTAACTAATTTGCTCAGATCTTTTCTCCTTATATTTGCTTTAAACCTGCTTAAGGAGGTCTCGTTTCTGTCCTTCATACTCAATTTTGACCATAAAAATGGCCCAAAAAATCTGAGGGAATGCTTTCCATATTTAACAGTTTTTACCCTTTCAACGTGAAAGTCCGAGTTCCTGAGGTTGTAGTTCGAAAGCGATGACGAGAAGAGTTCTAGTACGTTGTAAGGCTGTAATCTATTCCTTATTTTGAACATAAAGATAGCGATATCTTGTAATCTCATGTTAGATAGACTAGTCATTCCAGCGTGTGTAAGAAGGTCACCATAAGGAGAGACTCGATCTTTGAAGACTGTACGTAGTCCATATGAAACCGGTGGAAAAAGTCTCCGTTTTCAAAGAAAAACGGATACGTGTTGACTGGTTCTTTGGGCCTGTTTACATGGAGGTGGGGACCCCAGATAGGTGAGGTAACATGTGGCGGGTCACCCCACCTATCATGTAAGCGTGATCAAATTAAAATGAGAGATTATATGGACAGGTGGGTTACCCCACCTGAGCGGGTTACATCATCTTCCTTATAGGGTCTCCCACCTCCATGTTAACAGGCCCTTAGATTGGCAAAACAAGAACTCTGTACGTGAATCAAGCTTTTTGCACATTTCTTCAGCTTCTCTGCACGATCGACTACGACGTCAAAATACTTCATTTCACGTTTTGTGGAGAACGTAAACACACGACGACGACTTTCTTTTTGTTTTCCGGAACTTCGAAACAGTCTTTTAGAATTCAACTCCAGAAAAAATTGCCAAAAAGTTGTGGAATTGATAGTCTGAAATGTCATTTGTCCGCAAAGTCAATTTTCAAGTGACGTTAAGGCCCGGCTCAAACGCCGAACTTTTCATGAGCCTAACCTAATACATTGAATTAAGTACATGAAAAGTTCGGCGTCTGAATCAATTAGGAACGCCTGTTTCAATTTGGAACGGCTCAGCCGTTCTCTTCGCCTGGCCTGGCCAGGAATTTCGCCTTTGGAGCGACTTCGAAGGGTTTGATTCAGACACCGAACTTTTCATGTACCGAACCTAATGCATAAATTATTATAACGTATTTGTAGGAAGTTTGACCGAAATGAACATTTGTCGCCTTTTGAACTTAGTTCAGCAGCAATTAAGATCGGCGTCTGAATCAGTTCAGCCGGTCTTAATAACTTGGGTCGGCCTTAATTCGAATTAGGTTCGGCTCATGAAAAGTTCGGCGTCAGAATCGGGCCTAAGTCGTTTTAAAGTGAAGCTCCACTTCAACAAAAAGATAACTTTAAATCACAGGAAATAACTGTTACAGTCAAGTCAATCTAAAATATTTTTAAAGACAGCGTTTGTATCCGAAAGAAATAACTTTTAGATTCGCCAATTTTTGTTTTCAAAGTTTGCGGGCGTCGCCATCTTGAATAATTGTGACGTGTAATGGTTGCCCCATTGTTATTAAACAAAAGCTCTTTGTGTCAGAACAATAGAGCAACCGTAACACGTCACAATTATTCAAGATGGCGGCACCCGCGAAATTTGAAAGTGAAAATAAGCGATTTTAAAATTCACTTTTCCTGATATAAACACTTTTTTTAAGACAAATTTCGAACAAATTTGTTTATCAACATAATTTTATTCGATTTAAACGTATTCTGTAGTAAGAGTGGAGGTTCCCTTTAATAGCTGTCGCCGTCGTTGATGCTTTGGGAGCGTTGCCATAAGCAACAACGATGGTGACGGCCAGGTGGGAGACTGGGTAACATTATACCGTATACCTTTTCATGTCAACATAAGAAGCCCTGCGGTATGATATGAACACCTGTTCACAGTGCGTCAGAGAGTGTCATCGAAACCTATCCGATATGTGATGATCCGTTTTCAAGATCGACGCGGCATAGGCTCGCTCCGTTACAGAAGCCGCGCCGAACATGCCGAAATCACGGTTCTCTGTTGTGAACAGAAGCCTGTTGTATATCCGATAGGGATTTCTTGCCAGTGTATGAGCTATCGGTTGTATTATGGACACAGCCTTAGGGGGAGGGGTGGGGCGGCTATATGTCTTCCCTCGTTTTACGGCGGTTGCATGAATTCGGGCGCTTTATTTCGATTGCGTGTAGTTCGACACGTGCCCAGTTGCATACCTTCCTCTGCTTAGCCCAGTTGCATGCTTCTTCTCTTTGCATAGATTGCATATCTTCCGTTTTCTCCGCGGAGGGAGCTACACGTAAGCTTATGTTACAGCGCTTACCAACAATTGGGCATTTCCATTCGTTCTACTTCTTGCCCATTTTCCCGCTGCAGTCGATTTATGGCGTTGCTGGAGTTTTATTTAAATCTCGTAAGTTTTTGATAGTGGGTATGCAAAAACTTTGTTTTTTGTTTCAGTTGTTGCTGTCGACCAGTTACTTCTGGAGAAACTACGTCGATCATAATTTTGACTTTAATGATGATGACGACGAAGAATTAACAGGCATGTTGCACGAACTTGGAAGTACTTGGATCTTTGGCAATGGTACGGGGATGTTACCGAGTATACCCCAAGGGGATCTGTTTGAGGAGTTCCCTAGAAGGTGGAAATCTGGTATTATTCACCCGGTTGGTCCGGACGTTCATGTAAACGTGGAAGACCACAAGTCTTTTTGCGAGGCGCTGTATCAGCTGCAGAAACTCAAGAATGAAATTGATGAGCGAGAAATTGTTTACAGTAAGTTCTTTTATTCTTTTGTAATTTGCACCGAGCAAGATTTTTCTTCAAGTTGGTCGTTTTATTTCAAAGGATCCAAACGGATGGACTAGCGTGCGCTTAGTAAGGATATCGTGCTAACTGAAGAAAGCAGCACTGTATACCTTGTTATAGGAAATTAGCGCTTTATTCACCATTTTCACATAGACCATAATGCACCTTGGTTACACCCCAAAATTTTGCATATCCATTGTTTCGAATAGGCCATTTTACAGTTATGGATGGAAGCGAGGCTGGAGGTGACCTTGTTTTGATGCAAGCCTGCTTTATTATGTAAATCAAGTTGTTCTTATGCTAACTAGTATTTTTCAAGGGCATCAAAACAAGATCAACCTCAGCCTCACATTCACTCGAAGGCTAGGGTACTAAGTCCACAACTGTAAAATGGTCCATTGTTATTTATAGTCATCCAAAGAGAAATCAAAGACAATGGTTATGCAAAAAGTTTGAGGGTAAACAAGGGGCATTATGGTCTATGTGAAAATGGTGAATGAAATTAAGGTATTGGAAATTAACGCGACTTAAGTGGAAAACGGCTTTCGAATAAAGGAAAGTAACGCGAAAGAGGGGATAACATTTCAAAACAAAGTCAATTAACGCGACTTTCACAAAGAACCAAAACTTGCTGAGATAACGGGAACAAAGTTAAACGTATATTCCGAAATCAAAACTTTCTTCGTGGTTCCCTGAACGTACGCACGGGGGTCAAGCGAAGAACTGAGGCCACCTCGAGGGTTCTTCACAGTTTCACTGTCTCTGGAATGGAAACAGTAAAGATCGCAGAAATTAATGCTCGACTTAATTAACGGCGCGGAAATTAACGTTTACAAAAATTAACGCGACTCAGTAAATCAACGTGGAATTCGCGTCAATTTCAAGAAGCGTCAAGTTCCTATAATAAGGTAGTCAGAGGTGTAGCCAGGATTTTTCAAAGAGGAGGTTCGCACTGTCACACTCAGCGTTTACTTACCAGATTGTCATAATGATATCCACATCCATGCCGCGATTTTCTAATATAAAAGAAACGTTTATCTCGGATAAGCAGTTCGCATCTGAGGGGAGGGGGAATAGGTGCTGCGTCAGATCATACGAAAAAACACTAATTACGGCACCATATACAAGCTGGAGCAAACATTCTTTAATACCTTGATGAACGTTAGGTTCTCGTCTTCAGCTGCCTTTTCCTATCCCAGCTCAGGATATAAAGAGATATTTAGTCTAGAAGCAGATATTCTTCAAATAGCAATTGTCATATCCGTCGAGTTGTATTTTTGCTGTTCTTGCTATGTTTTTAGGCACTAGTTCGGCTTTTTCTCCTTCCGACGACACCGCAGGAGCCGTGCACCGTGCCAACACGTATCACGGTCCCCCGGCAGGCGGTTAACAGTGTACAGTAAGTGAACTCGCATTCAACCACTATGGAGAGGGGGGGCTGTACATTTTTCGAGTGGTCCCCTGGGTTAAAAAATGGAGATGATACTTCGATCTGATGTACAGATGGTGTCAATAGTTTTACCTCTATCTTTGGTTGCAGTTCGATCGTTGGCTTTAAGAGGGTCTCAATGGGGCTAACCATCAGCAGTCAAACGGTCTAAAATTTAACCGTCAACCTTCAAAAAAGGTTAATCTTTACCGTCAGCCTTCAAAAATGTCAATTAATATTAACCGTAAAAGAATTTCAAGGTATTTTAAATCTCACTATTTCAGCTGATCCTCACGGGATTCTGGCTCCTGAAGAATCTCTAAACTGTAAAAACCAGTTCCCATGTTCTCAAAAACACTCTTTTTAGACATTACAACTTGCCTATATTGCTGAAATTATTTGGAAATTTTATAAGTGAAAGGCGAAGACAACCTCCAAACACAACAGTTAATTGGTACCGCAAGTAAAAGTTCCCTTTTTGGCCCTGTAATGAATTCTTTATTAACCAAGCTTGTTCGGTCAAAAATATTGGCCTCGTTTTTTCTTGCGTTTTTATTAACATCGAATGCTTCTCGGGAAAAAAACGTCAACCGTCAAAGCTACCACCCCATTGGGACCGTTCTTTATCGTTTAGTAGTGTCAGGTGAAGAGTTTTGTGATAAAGTGGAACAAGTGTAATACGCGACGATAAATGATGAACCGTTGTTCTCCGTCTATAGCCGCCCTGCACAACTAGGGTTTTGGGGGGCACTGAGGGGCGAGCGTGAAGCGCAAGACACGAGAGGAGGGTCTTCTCTCCTTTCCTACCTATCGCGCTTCGCGCTCGCGCAAGAAAACCTGCTTGAGCGCCCCCAATAATGCCTGTTATGAAGGCTATCTCGTCTACCGTTTAAGCGTTGACTTTTAAAACGGGAGCCTTGACCGCAACAGTTTTTACTCCGCTACATTTAGATACAGCGACTTTGGCTAGTTACGTTACTTTGCGAACTTTTCGATCTCTTCTGAGCATACCGTAAATCCACTTTTAAGCAGGTTTGAGGGGGGGTGACTTATTTAAGAGGGGGGAGGGCGTAATTAAGTCATCGAAATAGGGCACCATACTGTGAAACAACTAGAAGGGTGGTATAATTCTCAAAAAAAAAAACTAGGACTCAAAGTGAAAATGCGTAATCACATGGCTTAAGAGGTCTTGCAGCTCAAAAACAGATCCGAACTTCCAGCACATAAATGAACCATACCGGATCAGCTATCTTTTACTTACTTGTTAGTGAAAAAATAAGGGAACTGCTAGGGAGGCTTAAGAGAGAGGTGAACTTAATAACTTTCTCCCCCTGAAAAGGGGGGAGGGGGTCATTAGAGAGAGGGCTTTTTGAGGGGGAGGTGCTTAATAGAGGATATACAGTAGGTACTGTTTGAATTTTTATTTCTGGTAACTTTCTTTCCACCCTAGCTGGGCCGCGTGGAGACCGAGGAGAGTGCCCTATAGACGTCATCTTATTTTCCTGGGTTAAGGATCAGCTTCCGTCCGTAAAAGAAATCATCGAGATACTTCACTTAAATACGAATCTTCATTTACACGTCATTTATGAGACATCGGAGAGGCGCTTTGGGGAAGGAGACGAACTTGGCAAATTGTTCAAGTGCCGAAGACAACTTCCGGGCGAAAGTAGTTTTTTCGAAACGTTACCAAAGGTCATAGACGGGTATGTGTTATAGGAAACAGCACTTCAGTTGTTGTTGTTGTTGTTGTTGTTGTTATTTTTATTCTAGCTTCTATTTTTTAAAATAATCACATTAATCACACGTGCTCAATTCCGACGATCCTACGGAAATATAGGGGATATTGTGAGCAGTCTACCTTGGTGATATAGACCAGCAGTAAGCAATTAGAACGACGCGTTCGTCAACAAAGTGACTATAGTACGTAAAACAACAAATAAGCCTATAATACAAAACCACGATAATTGATATCTCTTCCTATATTCTATCCCTCCTTTTTCCGTAGATTCGTGAAAGTGCGCGTGGATTATCAAGGCCGAATGAATAGTTTCAGACCATCCCCGGTCTTCATTCTTACCCAGCTCTCCCCTGGTTGGTGCGGCGGAGTGTTGACAGGAGTCTGGTAACAAAAACAGCGTCGTACCTGTCGATTACACTGGAAACTTGCCTTATTTGGGCATATGATTTCCCGCCCGGCTCATGAGAGAAGATTTACCACTGAAAGCGGTGTCGAATTAAGTTATTGTAACAGAGCAAGCGAGATATATATACTTAGATTTAAGAAACTTTAATTTATTGTCGCGTTATACGTTAAGCTGCAACCTTATTTGGGCATATGATTTCCCGCCCGGCTCATGAGAGAAGATTTACCACAGAAAGCGGTGTCGAATTAAGTTATTAACTTAGATTTAAGAAACTTTAATTTATTGTTGCGTTATACGTTAAGCTGCTACTGATGCGTTTTCGTTCCCTGCACGCTAGACTAGGGTATATAAAAAAAGACATAATACGTTAGTGACTTTATTTTACTGGTTGCACTTAATCTGTTTCAGGGGCGGATCAAGGATATTTTTTAGGAGGCGGTGCACTCGTCTCTTGCTCTACTTCAACACCAATAAACCGCATAGTTTTTTTTTGCAGAATACCAGTTGTACTAGAAAACCGCAGGTCTTCCTAGAAGGGGGGGGGGGTACGCACCCCCTGCACCCTCCCCCTAGATCCGCCCCTGTGTTTGTGAAGGAATAGGTGTTCATTTTTAAATTCTTACATACTGTAGTAAGAGTTAGGAATTTATAAAAATTTCATGTACTTTCCAGAAAGCGAAAGATATTATTTTCATAAGGTGAAAAGTGTTTTTGTATCCTGGTATTCGTACTTAAATAAGTCTAAAAGTAATAGATATTGATCAAGGATTAAAAAAATCCTTGATTTAATGATTGGGCAGTGTTTGTCTAATAAATCTTCTAAGTTTGTCGAGATAAAACGCAAAGGAACCGTGATAACATTTACCGGCGTTAATCAGTAACGCCTAATCCTTTAGTTTTGTGAGCCTTGTTCTGCACTACCTTTATTGGACGGTTTCCGTGATAATATAGCTACAAAACGATTTGCTGTCGAGTTTAGTAACAGGGGCACCCAACGGGAAATTTTGAGAAAAAGACCTAAAAACAACAACAAAGCGTGAATAAAGTTTTCTGAGACTATTTTAAGCATTTTGGGAGATTGCTGGAAAAAAATTATCTCTTCCTCACTCCCAGCAAGACTGATGGAAGAGTTCCCAGCCAGCAACCTTATAACCTGCAACCTGACTTACTGTGAAGTTTCATAGGGCACAATTCAGAACTTGAGTCGTAAGTAACTGATACAAGTAACCCGTAGCAGCTATTCTAGACTTCAAATCCCCTCTGACACCCTGAATTATCTTTTTCCCAGCAACACTTTCCTTCCGAGGACTATTATTTCTTTCACATCTCCCAGCCAGCAAAAATGTGCCTGAAGAACAGATATTTTGAGGAACAGATCCATTGGGTGCCCCTGTAGTAATAACTTCTCGGGTGTTTTTCCGCCTTGAATTTTCAATTTTTGAATACAGCTTCTCTAAGAGTTTTCACCACACAACAAACTCGCACAGACAGGTTAAAACAATGTAAAATGTTGGCTGCCTCCTCCACAAGCTTTGCCAAGGCTCAGTGGGGAGCAGCGAGAAACAATACGCGAGAGCTGGAGACAAGCGAGAAGCGCGAGGGGATGGTTGATGGGAACGAGCGTAGAGCGCGAGCGGGGAGTGATCCCCGCTTTCCTTAATAATTAACTCAAATATCCCCCAAAAAGAAATCGCGAGCGACTGGAGACGAGGCAGAAATATTGGTGACAACTGGCGCTCATAAATCGTGAAACGCTGATTTACATAACCTATGAAGTTCTTTTTATTATCAGAAAAAATATATGTATATTCTGAATAGTTTCAGTTTAAGCTCTGCCTCTTTTGGAGATTCTCAGTAACTCTATTTGCTTTCGAACTGAATAAATACTCTAAAAAATTTTAAGGTACGTAAGTAATGTTCCGACGTCGAAACTGTTCGGCGGAAAAATTATCAGGTTTGTCCGACAGTTTTGCCGCCCAAACATGTATTGTAGTTAAAGTTTTAAACGCGAAAGTTCATCGCAGGACCAAGTAGCCTAGTTTCTTGCGACAAGGCTGGTTATTATACAGTCATATTTTGAAGTATAAGTTTCAGAATAGGGAGAATGAGAACGTGGTGAGGGCGCTTACGAATTTCTTTAAAAGGACGCATCTATCTGAGGGCAGTATGGAATGCTTCAAAAGAAATTAAGCTCCCTTTAGCTTTCTAGAGGATTTTCCCGTATGCAACTACAAATAAGCCTATAATACAGTTGTTTATTACAGATGGCCCGGCATCACAAGGGTACAATGTTTAGTATGTCTGGCCAGTGTCTTCGTGTATTGTCTTTAGTAAGTTACTGTAAAATTCCGAAAATAAGCCCCGTGGCGCTTATTTTTGTAGGGGCTTATACACGGAGGGAAATTTGCGTTTCAAAATTGGCTAGGCCATACTGGGAGGGAAATTTACGTCTCAAAAACGATTGGGCTAGCTTATAGTCGGAAGGAAATTCATGCCAGTAATTTTCAGAACGTTTTTACTGAAACTCGCCTTGAGGACGTAAAGCCAAGGGCAATTGACTGTGCCGACACTCTTTGACTATAATCATTTGGCGCAAGTAAAACTTCTTTGGAAAATGCGAAAATTTATCTGTTACTGTACAGTTTTTGCTCTGTTTTATTTTGAAATTGCGGGCAATTTCCAACCACAAGCCCCCGGAGGCTTATATTTGGAGGGATGATTTAACCGAGGGCTTTTTGTGTTACGCGTTTGGGGGCCTTATATTTGGAGGGGCTTATTCTCGGAATATTACGGTATTGTACCGCCCTCTTTTTAATTACTATAATAGTGTTTTCTTCACTTACGAATTTGATTGGCTACTTAAGAACGGTATCAGACATCTTTAAACTAAATAAATCGCGTGACCATCGTGGTCAGATTGTCTTTCCATGTCGATACCATTCGTATCTAGAGAAGAGGACGCAGTCACCGGGCACGAATACTCGCAAAAGAACCCAGTTCTTTCAAATTCAACTGAAAAAAGTGTTTTACGCTAATACTAGAACGCCACCTGCGGTAACCGAGAAACGGCCTTTCGTTTCTTAATTCACGTGATTTGGAGGAAGTTTCAGTTTTTAAAATCCAGCTTCGGCAAAGCCCGAAAGCTTGCTGTACCAGAGAGGCGAAAGGAAACATCACTCTCTTGGATCTTTGCCCAAATGATGATGTTGGTTTGTGAATTTGGCTGGATTATTTGTCTCCTTGTTTTCTCCATAAGCCGCAGTACAGGTAAAGGCCTCCTTCTTTCCGTTTTGCTATTTCTTTAAATTTTTCTAATAGATTCGATTAAAGAGGGCAACTATAATTTAACCGGTATTTTTTGGCCAAAACATATAACCGTTTCAGTAATTCGATTCAGTTTTGTGAAGAAAAAAATTAGACGCCGAGGTATTTTTCAGTCTACTATTTCCGCGAGAAGAAATGAAACCGAAAATGAAAAAGGTTTTTTTCCCTTGCATTCTTCATTAATCTTCAAATATGTAATCAGGGTCGACTATCGTTTCGGTCGACAAGTTTCTCCTGCAGCCTTAATTACTAGAAAATTACAAGAGCGCTGGTGAAAATGTCGAAAATGTAAAAGCCATGAGTTGAACTAGGACAAGTCGACTGCCGAGAATCTCTTCTGCATGAGCCACGACAGGGCGTTAGGTTCGATATAGACTTTAATTTCTCAAAGGCCCGTTTCTACCGTCGTTCGCTTTTGGAGCTCACGCAGTCGACTTGTGACAAGTCTAGGTTTATTGAATTCTATTTCTTTAAGTTTTTGTAATAGATTCTTTGTAAATTAAATTAACGACGAGCACATAAACTCAACGCGCTCTTAATATCTTTCTACGACTGAAATTCTTTTTAGTTTTTACTGTTATCACTTTTAAAAACTCGTTTTTCCTTCATATTCCTCCCTTAAAGAGAGCAAATTTAAACGGCATTTTTCGCCCAAAACATACAACTGTTTCAGTCATCGATTCAGTTTTCAGAAGAAAAAAATTAGACGCCCGGGGTATTTTTTGTATTCAGTCTATAAATTTTCTGGGGAAGAAACTAAACCGAAAATGACAGATGGTTTTTTTTCCCTGCACTCTTCAAACATGTAATCATGGTCGACTCTCGTTTCTCTCGAAAAATTTCTCCTGCAGCCTTACTAGAAGATTACAATAGCGCTGGTGAAAATGTCGAAAATGTAAAGGCCATGAGTTGAGCTATAGGACAAGTCGACTGGATTCTTTTCTGTATGAGCCACGACGGGCGCTAGGTTCGATATAGACTTTGTCAAAGCCCGTTTCTGCCGTTGCTCGCCTTCGGCGCTCACGCAGTCGACTTGTGGCAAGTCTAGCCTAGGTTCATTAAAAAATCGCTAATGAAATGGCATTATGTTATAGCCCACGTTAGATATATCAGAATTCTAACATGACTACGACGCTTTAGGGACATAACTATAAAGGCGATGTATTCACGGGTAAAGACATCATGTTTTCAAGCAAAAATTTAAAACTAGGAATTGTTTTTTATTGAATTCGGCTTTCGTATCTCCTGAAGAATTATAAAGATATTGGAGTGTTTTATCCCATAACACCCTCCTCGATCTTCATAATCATTCAGATGATACTCAGCCACATTTAATAATTGCTAAATATCATATACATAGAAAATGGCAGTATGCGTTTCTAGACACGTGTATAGTTAAGCAATAGACCACACTTTCTATGGGTTTACGGGCGTGATAACCCACGCGGGATGTTGGGAGAACACGAGAAAAGCTTGTAAATCACGAGCCGAACCCGCGTGGGTTATCACGCCGGTCAGAGGCCATACCAATATTTTTCAATGACCTTGAAAGTGATTTTATCCTTGTCTGATCGCTATAAAATTTTCAACTATGATTGTGTTTAAATTGAAATTTGTCAAAATGTAGGTTTTAGTAAATTCGATATTACACATAATCTTCACATAATCTTTATAAGGTATATAATAATGTCTGAAACTTTCATTAAGATTGATTCACTGCAACACCTTGAAATTTCAAGACAAACCTATCCTACGAACTGGTCAAAATTCCGAGCTACAACATTCACTGTTTTGACGTTCTGTTAATTTTTCCCAAATTAATGCAGACAATTCATATATCCATGACTAGTACATTTCAGTGTGAGTACTGTCAATGTCTTACATTCAGAAGATGCGATAAATTCAAACTAAAATGTACTAGTCATGGAGGTATGTATAGTGTGCATCATTTTGGAAAAATTTAAGCTTAACGTCAAAACAGTGAATGTTGTAACGCAGATTTTTGACAGGTTCGTATGAAAGGTTTGTCTTGAAATTTTAAGATGTTGCAGTGGGGCAATCTCAATGAAAGTTTCAGACCTTATTATATACATTATGAACATTATGTGAAGAGATTTTAAAACAATTCGTTCTAGTCGTTTCAGAGATATACCGCAGTATATCCCAGGATATATCAGGATTCTCTTTGGATTCCCTCGCAAAAAGTGGATTCCCTTTATTAATATGTCAGATATGTATGTGTCTTCCTGCATACTAATTAATTGCCTTCCTCCATATATAATGAAGTGGATAGGTTTACTAATTATGAGCGTCACTCTACTACAATAGGAACAATAGGCTTGCCTAGACTTGCCCGGGCTCTTTTAACCCTGATTGGATAGTAAACAATCTATTATGTGCGGATTCCCTTCAGTATTTCATTCTCGCAATCTCGCAATCGCTTTGCCAAGGAAAAAAGTCTTACGATCACCAATATTTTTTAAAACATTGCTCCAAACATGCAAGTCGAATCGAGATGTAAACTCTTTATTTCAAGTTTGTCTGACTATTACAATGAAAAACCATTGAAGTCTTGTCATTTTCACGCACGGTTAATCAGTTAACTATGCGAGTTCACAAGCCCAAAGTTGAATACGAATTAACTCTACAGGAAAAACCTCAAGGGAGCACCTTGACGTATTATTATAAACAAATAACTTAACAAGGATCAATTAAAACACGCGACTTATAATTGCTAGAAAAAAAAACACATGAGAGATACCGTTTTAAAAAACTTTATTAAAAACAAAAAGAGTCAAATACACAGCGATTTGTAATAAGGAATGGAAATTAATTAATTCCTTCTTCTTCGCCTATCGAGTACTTGTAAGGTTTGAATTTCTTATGCCGACGTTTTTTCAGCTGTTTGCCATGAGATTTATGATCATCCAAATAATTTAGATATTGAATCCGACGCCTTTTGCGCTTCGGGCCTTGTTGTGATGGGGTTTCTACTGTGGGAGGAGGGGTCGGGTAAGCAGGATTTAAGGCTGGTGGAGGGGTGAGGCTTTCTTTGTCAGGTTTTTGAGAGATAGCCGCTTGTGTTAATTCAGGTGTTACATTAAAGGGGTTGAGGGGAGTCGAGAATGCTGTCGTTGCTGTAGAAGAATCTTGTGTCCTTGATGTTAAGTCTGGAACAGTACTGATTATTTCTTCCGGTCGTGTTCTTGTATTTAATTGTTCTTTAAACGCCAGGTATCTGTTTTGCAACTGAACGTATCGCTTAGCTTTTTCATCGTCCCGAAGATCGTTTCGAGAAAGCACGTCATCCATGTTGCCTTGTATTTATTACGTAGCTGGAAGAAGCGGGACACGCGAAAGACTTTGCTGCTTCAGATATTTTAGAAGCTCTTGAGGAATATTTTCTTGAACCCCTGCTTGGTTAAAGCCTTCTTCACTAGGCAGGACGTTTGTTCGCAACCGACAATTATCTTGGGTAGTAGTTTTCAAATCAATCAGAAGATAACCAAAAGGTCTTTTCACAGCCTCTTCGTACTGATTTAAAAACAAATCCGTCTGCCCGGGATACATTTGCTTCGCCAGAGTCAGGATTTGCAATTTGTCTCGTGGATTCTTGAATAACACCAGATAATGGCTGTTTAGGCTTATGCTGCGGCTACCTTTCCCCTGATGAAATAGATTCTGCATGATATAAATACGCTCAGATGGCGATGATGAGAACCACGAGTAAAGAGGTTCACAATTCGCTTGTCTTTACTGGCGTCAATCATCTGATCATCAAACACGATCAAATTCCGTTTGTTCACATCAAAATAGGAATCCTGCTCCAACAGCCGTAGGAATTCCCGTGACGAATTCAATGTTTGGCATGGCGACTAACATTTGTGTATATGCAGTCTGCCATTGTGAATAACACCAAACGATCCTCTCCGGAGGAGGGTAAATGGTCTCTGAAGCTTGTTGCAATCGAACCCAGGCCGTTTTTCCGGAACCGGTCACTCCGGCAATCAAGGAGGTGAAAGGATGCTCGAAGCGAAACCGCTGACATTTCTGTGAAAATATTGGAACTGTTTGAAATGGGGTGAGACCAGCATTGCGGTGTTTAGACATCACGTGCCTTTGCATACTATCTTTTCTACTAAAGGATTTTTCACAGGCAGAACAGAACCAACTCATGTCAACTCCTCGGGAGCAAAATGTAGACTGAGAAAGAGGGAGAATGTTGCGCATTTATAAAGGTTTTCAGGCCACAAAATTCTATTGTTTTCCTCCCCCAAGACCACCACCACCATCACCACCACCACATTTCTATTGTTTTTCCTCCACCACCACCACCACCGTCACCACATTTCTAGTGTTTTCCCTCCACCACCCCACCACAACATTTCTATTTTTTCCCCCACCACCACCACCGTCACCACATTTCTATTGTTTTCCTCCACCACCACCGCCACCACATTTCTATTGTTTTCCCTCCACGAAATTCTATAAAAGACTGCCAACTGCCATCTTTAGTTCACTTTGAAGCAATGTCTCGTGTCGTGAACAACAATCGTGGTTTTCTTCAGCTGTTAGCTGATTGCCCTGCTTATCAGCGCCAGTTTCTTTTAAAGACAGCTACTCCACAACAACTACATGCACTAGTCCAAGTCTTATACAATATACTCATGGGACACATTCCTATCTCCGAAGAAAATAAGCGGATATTACTGCCACATAAGGATGCTTTACTTAACCTGGCCAGACCAAATGTCCCTTTCAAAACAAATAAACGAGTCCTTGTTCAAGAGGGTGGTGGTTTTATTGAAGATGTATTAGCCCCTTTTGTTTCAAGCTTAGGATTTCTAATGCTATAAAAGAGGTGACGCATCGCTAGGTTGATCATTCGAAGCTAAGCCTGTCACGGGTACTCATCAAAATGAAAAGAAAGATAGATTTGGTTGAAGAAGAAGAACACGAGATTGAACATGAAGAACGCGAAAGTTGCCCGGGGCATGGAAATTTCCTTTGTCCCGGGCGAGCATGGTTTCTCCTCCTTCCAAGTTGAAAATGTCCACTGGAAATGTATGTGTGCTACTCACTAGTGTATCATTAAAATTAAGTTTCAGAAGTCCTACAGAAAAAAAACAAAAAGGAACAAACAAACCAACACTCTTCGGTAACTATCTAAATGCGATCAACAGACCAGGCTTTTGAAGCTTTTCTCATAAATAATTCGGTACACTTAGGGACCAGTCATAATTTAAGTTGGAGGGGGGAGTGGAGGAGAAATTTTATTCCAAATTTTTTCCAGACCCCCACCAATAGCACCCATGTTTTTTAGGTACCCCCCTTCAATCATGTTAAAAGATTTAAGGGCCCCCCTTTCTTGTACATAATACCCAAATGGTAATAACAAATAACATTTTCTTTACTTTACCGTTCTTACTCACTGTCACCTCCGAATGTGCCAACTAACAACAGAGAAGCACTTCACACTAAAGTGAGAAAGAGATTTCACCTAGAGCCTCTCAAACAGCTTATAGAGCAAGGATATATCAGTGATTGTGTTATGATTGAGATAAGACAAGCCATCGAAAGGTGAGAGGCCGACAGGACCGCTTCAAGGAAGAAAGAAGATAATCAGCCAAAGCTTACTGCTTTTTATATGAGCAGTACATGCTCTAATAGCAAAAAACTTGACGGTGACACAGACAGTGAGTCCACATCAACCTCATCTACAAATATTGATTCGGATAGTGAGATTGCATAACGTGACTTTATGCGTGTAATCATTTGTTACAAAATGCTGATGAAATTGTTTAAGTGTTACACAATAATGGATGTTGTGTTGATGCACTTACTATTTGAGCATTAAATCTTTTTGTAAAAATGCTGATTAAATTGTTTTAGTATTACAAAATATAGGACTTTGTGTAAAACTGAATCAAAATCAGGTCCTTTAGTACTCAAGCATCATGCTGCTCAGTAGGGATGCTACTTAAATGAAACTTGAAGACCCCCCAAGGTCATCTTTTGGCATTTTAAGGCCCCCCATATTCCATCCAAAAAAATTGAAGGCCCCCTAAATTTCTCCTCCACCCCCTCCAACTTAAATTATGACTGGTCCCTTATTAATCATTAATTATTCGCATAATTTATGATCACGCTTACCTCAACTTCTCTAGCTGCAATAAAATAAAAAAAAAAGCAAATATGTATTCTAGGCGACTGAAACTATCATTTTCTTGGAATGAAGCAAATTCATTGAGAAAGATGGTCGAGATTTTACCTTCCTCGAGGTCATCCATATCTGTGAAGCAGAGCGCGTCGTGTAACGCAACCACAACCACAAGTTTATAACATGATCTAAGAGGAACTGGCACTAGTAAAACAAAATGGCACCTGAAAGCCACGGAGAGAAAAAGGATGATCTGGCCTTTTTTACCCTCCAAATGGGTTAAACTTTCAGTTTTGATGAATTAATTTAATTTTTTTGATTGCTCCGAGTTGATCCGAGTCCAATTTTGTTTTATTTTTATTTTTTTATTCGATCCGAGTTGGTCCGAGTCGATCCGACCCGGACTGGCGGTCCGAGTTGATCCGGTCCGACTTTTGTACCTGCCTAGATAGAAAGGAGAAAACAGTTCTGTAATAGTCAGACAAACTTGAAATAAAGACTTTACAGCTCGATTCGACTTGCATGTTTAGAGCAATGTTTTAAAAAATATTGGTGATAGTAAGACTTTTTCCTTAGCAAAGTGATTGCGAGAATGAAATACTGAAGGGAAAGCGCGCTTTTATGTTAAACACATAATAGATTGTTTACTATCCAATGAGGGTTAAAAGAGCCCGGGCAAGTCTAGGCAAGCCTATTGTTCTTATTGTAGTAGAGTGACGCTCATCAGTTAACCTATCCACTTCATTATATATGGAGGAAGGCACTTAATTAGTATGCAGGAAATCCAAATTAGTATGCAGGAAGACACATACATATTAAGAAGCCCTGCGCCTAAGAAACGACCGATGATTTCCGGCTAAAAAATAAAATCGGCCGATTTTTATCTCCCAAGTAGAGGTTACCGAATACTATTCAAAAATGAATTTCTTTTGTTTCAGTTTCGCTTTAAACCAAAAATATCGAGCCGCAAACTTTTTCCGTCTGAGTCTAAGTTACTGTAAAATTCCGAAAATAAGCCCCGTGGCGCTTATTTTTGTAGGGGCTAATATTCGTAGGGGCTTATACACGGAGGGAAATTTGCGTTTCAAAATTGGTTAGGCCATACTGGGAGGGAAATTTACGTCTCAAAATCGATTGGGCTAGCTTATAGTCGGAAGGAAATCAGTCATGCCAGTAATTTGCAGAAAGTTTTTACTGAAACTCGCCTTGAGGACGTAAAGCCAAGAGCAATTGACCGTGCCGACACTCTTTGACTATAATTATTTGGCACACGTAATACTTCTTTGGAAAATGTGAAAATTTATCTGTTACTGTACAGTTTTTGCTCTGTTTTATTTTGAAATTGAGGGCAATTTTCAAGCACAAGCCCCCGGAGGCTTATATTTGGAGGGATGATTTAACCGAGGGCTTTTTGTGTTACGCGTTTGGGGGCCTTATATTTGGAGGGGCTTATTCTCGGAATATTACGGTATTGTACCGCCCTCTTTTTAATTACTATAATAGTGTTTTCTTCACTTACGAATTTGATTGGCTACTTAAGAACGGTATCAGACATCTTTAAACTAAATAAATCGCGTGACCATCGTGGTCAGATTGTCTTTCCATGTCGATACCATTCGTATCTAGAGAAGAGGACGCAGTCACCGGGCACGAATACTCGCAAAAGAACCCAGTTCTTTCAAATTCAACTGAAAAAAGTGTTTTACGCTAATACTAGAACGCCACCTGCGGTAACCGAGAAACGGCCTTTCGTTTCTTAATTCACGTGATTTGGAGGAAGTTTCAGTTTTTAAAATCCAGCTTCGGCAAAGCCCGAAAGCTTGCTGTACCAGAGAGGCGAAAGGAAACATCACTCTCTTGGATCTTTGCCCAAATGATGATGTTGGTTTGTGAATTTGGCTGGATTATTTGTCTCCTTGTTTTCTCCATAAGCCGCAGTACAGGTAAAGGCCTCCTTCTTTCCGTTTTGCTATTTCTTTAAATTTTTCTAATAGATTCGATTAAAGAGGGCAACTATAATTTAACCGGTATTTTTTGGCCAAAACATATAACCGTTTCAGTAATTCGATTCAGTTTTGTGAAGAAAAAAATTAGACGCCGAGGTATTTTTCAGTCTACTATTTCCGCGAGAAGAAATGAAACTGAAAATGAAAAAGGTTTTTTTCCCTTGCATTCTTCATTAATCTTCAAATATGTAATCAGGGTCGACTATCGTTTCGGTCGACAAGTTTCTCCTGCAGCCTTAATTACTAGAAAATTACAAGAGCGCTGGTGAAAATGTCGAAAATGTAAAAGCCATGAGTTGAACTAGGACAAGTCGACTGCCGAGAATCTCTTCTGCATGAGCCACGACAGGGCGTTAGGTTCGATATAGACTTTAATTTCTCAAAGGCCCGTTTCTACCGTCGTTCGCTTTTGGAGCTCACGCAGTCGACTTGTGACAAGTCTAGGTTTATTGAATTCTATTTCTTTAAGTTTTTGTAATAGATTCTTTGTAAATTAAATTAACGACGAGCACATAAACTCAACGCGCTCTTAATATCTTTCTACGACTGAAATTCTTTTTAGTTTTTACTGTTATCACTTTTAAAAACTCGTTTTTCCTTCATATTCCTCCCTTAAAGAGAGCAAATTTAAACGGCATTTTTCGCCCAAAACATATAACTGTTTCAGTCATCGATTCAGTTTTCAGAAGAAAAAAATTAGACGCCCGGGGTATTTTTTGTATTCAGTCTATAAATTTTCGGGGGAAGAAACTAAACCGAAAATGCACTCTTCAAACATGTAATCATGGTCGACTCTCGTTTCTCTCGAAAAATTTCTCCTGAAGCCTTACTAGAAGATTACAATAGCGCTGGTGAAAATGTCGAAAATGTAAAGGCCATGAGTTGAGCTATAGGACAAGTCGACTGGATTCTTTTCTGTATGAGCCACGACGGGCGCTAGGTTCGATATAGACTTTGTCAAAGCCCGTTTCTGCCGTTGCTCGCCTTCGGCGCTCACGCAGTCGACTTGTGGCAAGTCTAGCCTAGGTTCATTAAAAAATCGCTAATGAAATGGCATTATGTTATAGCCCACGTTAGATATATCAGAATTCTAACATGACTACGACGCTTTAGGGACATAACTATAAAGGCGATGTATTCACGGGTAAAGACATCATGTTTTCAAGCGAAAATTTAAAACTAGGAATTGTTTTTTATTGAATTCGGCTTTCGCATCTCCTGAAGAATTATAAAGATATTGGAGTGTTTTATCCCATAACACCCTCCTCGATCTTCATAATCATTCAGATGATACTCAGCCACATTCAATAATTGCTAAATATCATATACATAGAAAATGGCAGTATGCGTTTGTAGACACGTGTATAGTTAAGCAATAGACCACACTTTCTATGGGTTTACGGGCGTGATAACCCACGCTGGATGTTGGGAGAACACGAGAAAAGCTTGTAAATCACGAGCCGAACCCGCGTGGGTTATCACGCCGGTAAACCCGTAGAAAGTGTGGTCTATTGCTGAAGTAATTATCTCCTCCGTTTAAGGTGTTTCGATATTAAAGTTTTTCAGAGGCCATACCAATATTTTTCAATCGCCTTGAAAGTGATTTTATCCTTGTCTGATCGCTATAAAATTTTCAACTATGATTGTGTTTAAATTGAAATTTGTCAAAATGTAGGTTTTAGTAAATTCGATATTACACATAATCTTCACATAATCTTTATAAGGTATATAATAATGTCTGAAGCTTTCATTAAGATTGATTCACTGCAACACCTTGAAATTTCAAGACAAACCTATCCTACGAACTGGTCAAAATTCCGAGCTACAACATTCACTGTTTTGACGTTCTGTTAATTTTTCCCAAATTAATGCAGACAATACATATATCCATGACTAGTACATTTCAGTGTGAGTACTGTCAATGTCTTACAATCAAAAGATGCGATAAATTCAAACTAAAATGTACTAGTCATGGAGGTATGTATAGTGTGCATCATTTTGGAAAAATTTAAGCTTAACGTCAAAACAGTGAATGTTGTAACGCAGATTTTTGACAGGTTCGTATGAAAGGTTTGTCTTGAAATTTTAAGATGTTGCAGTGGGGAAATCTCAATGAAAGTTTCAGACCTTATTATATACATTATGAAGATTATGTGAAGAGATTTTAAAACAATTCGTTCAAGTCGTTTCAGAGATATACCGCAGTATATCCCAGGATATATCAGGATTCTCTTTGGATTCCCTCGCAAAAAGTGGATTCCCTTTATTAATATGTCAGATATGTATGTGTCTTCCTGCATACTAATTAATTGCCTTCCTCCATATATAATGAAGTGGATAGGTTTACTAATGAGCGTCACTCTACTACAATAGGAACAATAGGCTTGCCTAGACTTGCCCGGGCTCTTTTAACCCTGATTGGTTAGTAAACAATCTATTAAATGCGGATTTCCTTCAGCATTTCATTCTCGCAATCTCGCAATCGCTTTGCTAAGGAAAAAAGTCTTACTATCACCAATATTTTTTAAAACATTGCTCCAAACATGCAAGTCGAATCGAGATGTAAACTCTTTATTTCAAGTTTGTCTGACTATTACAATGAAAAACTATTGAAGTCTTGTCATTTTCACGCACGGTTAATCAGTTAACTATGCGAGTTCACAAGCCCAAAGTTCATAGTTAATTGAGTGGAATGGTTATGAAACCCGTCAGACTCCTTTGTTATATGTTTTTGTGGACCTGAAAGTGCACAACGTTCAAAAGAATTCCTATCATTTTGATTGTATTGACCAATAAAAACGTTGCATTAATTTATTCCGTCACAATTTGCCAACAGAAAACAAAGGATTGTGCACTTTCACGGTGCTTTGAACATAAACTGCAGCACTGTTGTTTTTATCATTGATGTTTGCCGTTTTTCATAACCAGTCTCCTCTAATAGGACAATTGCACGATGACGTCATTTGACTACAACTACCAGAATCCTTGAGTTTGTTGTTTTCTTGTGCAAATTAAGGCTATTGTTCTTTAATCCTCAGCGGGATTGACAAATTTAAATAACAAAGCAAAACCGAAATGAATTCTGGTAGTTGTAGTCAAATATCGTCATCGTGCAATTGTCCTATAACTATGCCAAAGTTGAATACAAATTAGCTCTACAGGAAAAACCTCAAGGGAGCACCTTGACGTATTATTATAAACAAATAACTTAACAAGGATCAATTAAAACACGCGACTTATAATTGCTAGTAATAAAAACACATGAGAGATACCGTTTTAAAAAACTTTATTAAAAACAAAAAGAGTCAAATACACAGCGATTTGTAAGGAATGAAAATTAATTAATTCCTTCTTCTTCGCCTATCGAGTACTTGCTAGGTTTGAATTTCTTATGCCGACGTTTTTTCAGCTGTTTGCCATGAGATTTATGATCATCCAAATAATTTAGATATTGAATCCGACGCCTTTTGCGCTTCGGGCCTTGTTGTGATGGGGTTTCTACTGTGGGAGGAGGGGTCAGGTAAGCAGGATTTAAGGGTGGTGGAGGGGTGAGGCTTTCTTTGTCAGGTTTTTGAGAGATAGCCGCTTGTGTTAATTCAGGTGTTACATTAAAGGGGTTGAGGGGAGTCGAGAATGCTGTCGTTGCTGTAGAAGAATCTTGTGTCCTTGATGTTAAGTCTGGAACAGTACTGATTATTTCTTCCGGTCGTGTTCTTGTATTTAATTGTTCTTTAAACAACAGGTATCTGTTTTGCAACTGAACGTATCGCTTAGCTTTTTCATCGTCCCGAAGATCGTTTCGAGAAAGCACGTCATCCATGTTGCCTTGTATTTCTTGCGTAGCTGGAAGAAGCGGGACACGCGAAAGACTTTGCTGCTTCAGATATTTTAGAAGCTCTTGAGGAATATTTTCTTGAACCCCTGCTTGGTTAAAGCCTTCTTCACTAGGCAGGACGTTTGTTCGCAACCGACAATTATCTTGGGTAGTAGTTTTCAGATCAATCAGAAGATAACCAAAAGGTCTTTTCACAGCCTCTTCGTACTGATTTAAAAACAAATCCGTCTGCCCGGGATACATTTGCTTCGCCAGAGTCAGGATTTGCAATTTGTCTCGTGGATTCTTGAATAACACCAGATAATGGCTGTTTAGGCTTATGCTGTGGCTACCTTTCCCCTGATGAAATAGATTCTGCATGATATAAATACGCTCAGATGGCGATGATGAGAACCACGAGTAAAGAGGTTCACAATTCGCTTGTCTTTACTGGCGTCAATCATCTGATCATCAAACACGATCAAATTCCGTTTGTTCACATCAAAATAGGAATCCTGCTCCAACAGCCGTAGGAATTCCCGTGACGAATTCAATGTTTGGCATGGCAACTAACATTTGTGTATATGCAGTCTGCCATTGTGAATAACACCAATCGATCCTCTCCGGAGGAGGGTAAATGGTCTCTGAAGCTTGTTGCAATAGAGATCGAACCCAGGCCGTTTTTCCGGAACCGGTCACTCCGGCAATCAAGGAGGTGAAAGGATGCTCGAAGCGAAACCGCTGACATTTCTGTGAAAATATTGGAACTGTTTGAAATGGGGCATTGCGGTGTTTAGACATCACGTGCCTTTGCATACTATCTTTTCTACTAAAGGATTTTTCGCAGGCAGAACAGAACCAACTCATGTCAACTCCTCGGGAGCAAAATGTAGACTGAGAAAGAGGGAGAATGTTGCGCATTTATAAAGGTTTTCAGGCCACAAAATTCTATTGTTTTCCTCCCCCAAGACCACCACCACCACCACCACCACCACATTTCCATTGTTTTTCCTCCACCACCACCACCACCGTCACCACATTTCTAGTGTTTTCCCTCCACCACCCCACCACAACATTTCTATTTTTCCCCCACCACCACCACCGTCACCACATTTCTATTGTTTTCCTCCACCACCACCGCCACCACATTTCTATTGTTTTCCCTCCACGAAATTCTATAAAAGACTGCCAACTGCCATCTTTAGTTCACTTTGAAGCAATGTCTCGTGTCGTGAACAACAATCGTGGTTTTCTTCAGCTGTTAGCTGATTGCCCTGCTTATCAGCGCCAGTTTCTTTTAAAGACAGCTACTCCACAACAACTACATGCACTAGTCCAAGTCTTTTACAATATACTCATGGGACACATTCCTATCTCCAAAGAAAATAAGCGGATATTCCTGCCACATAAGGATGCTTTACTTAACCTGGCCAGACCAAATGTCCCTTTCAAAAGAAAGAAACGAGTCCTTGTTCAAGAGGGTGGTGGTTTTATTGAAGATGTATTAGCCCCTGTGGTTTCAAGCTTAGGATTTCTAATGCTATAAAAGAGGTGACGCATCGCTAGGTTGATCATTCGAAGCTAAGCCTGTCACGGGTACTCATCAAAATGAAAAGAAAGATAGATTTGGTTGAAGAAGAAGAACACGAGATTGAACATGAAGAAAGCGAAACTTGCCCGGGGCATGGAAATTTCCTTTGTCCCGGGCGAGCATGGTTTCTCCTCCTTCCAAGTTGAAAATGTCCACTGGAAATGTATGTGTGCTACTCACTAGTGTATCATTAAAATTAAGTTTCAGAAGTCCTACAGAAAAAAAAACAAAAAGGAACAAACAAACCAACACTCTTCGGTAACTATCTAAATGCGATCAACAGACCAGGCTTTTGAAGCTTTTCTCATAAATAATTCGGTACACTTAGGGACCAGTCATAATTTAAGTTGGAGGGGGGAGTGGAGGAGAAATTGTTTTTTATTCCAAATTTTTTCCATACCCCCACCAATAGCACCCATGTTTTTTAGGTACCCCCCTTCAATCATTTTAAAAGATTTAAGGGCCCCCCTTTCTTGTACATAATACCCAAATGGTAATAACAAATAACATTTTCTTTACTTTACCGTTCGTACTCACTGTCACTTCCGAATGTGCCAACTAACAACAGAGAAGCACTTCACACTAAAGTGAGAAAGAGATTTCACCTAGAGCCTCTCAAACAGCTTATAGAGCAAGGATATATCAGTGATTGTGTTATGATTGAGATAAGACAAGCCATCGAAAGGTGAGAGGCCGACAGGACCGCTTCAAGGAAGAAAGAAGATAATCAGCCAAAGCTTACTGCTTTTTATATGAGCAGTACATGCTCTAATAGCAAAAAACTTGACGGTGACACAGACAGTGAGTCCACATCAACCTCATCTACAAATATTGATTCGGATAG